GGAACTTCACACTTCATGCCGCCCCAATCAAGCAGCCAGGTAGAAAAATGAATCATTCCATTACGCAGCAGATTGTAAGACTGGGGCAAGAAGCTAATCTACCCTGGCCCCAAGCTCTTCCACTGGCACTATTGCAAATTCGAACTAAATTCGGGCTAAAGGAAAGTTGAGTCCTTTTGAAATGCCTCATAGAAGACTGTATGGAATACAAAATGGAATGTCTACCCACTTTGGGGAGGTAACACTGGCCACCTACATGGTGGCTTTAAGCAAACAGCTCAGAGAAATTGAGAAACGTGGCTGGAACTCGGAGCAGGGAGTCAGATAGCCTGGGGATGATGTATATGTTAAGTCTCTTACAGGGGAGACTTTGGAACCACAGTGGGAGAGACCACTGCAAGTACTTCTCACCACCTTCACCGCAATCAAAGTCAAGGAGCAGAATGCCTGGATCCATCACTCTGGAGTGAAGAAAGCCCTAGAAGTCCCTTGGATTTTTGAGAAAAAAGAGAATTTTGAGAATTTTGCTCAGACATGGCTTGAAGGAAAAAAGGCCATGAAAATATACAGCTGATTGAAAAGTAAAAGGCAGCTGTAAACAGCAAAGTTCTCAGGCTTGTTTTTTAATTACAAGTAAATACCTTGTCCTTGAATAGTGATGGGAAAGCAGAGTGACAAACGTGGAGGCCTTGAGAACGAAAAATAAGTTTTGGCCTCAATAACAAACCACAGGTATTGAAAACAAAAGGAGGGGTTGGTGTGTAATCTGTAGCCAATAATGAGCTCGGGTTTTGCAATATGTATGAACTTAATTAACACGGTTATAAAAGTGTGCATGTTGGATCAATAAATCGGAGTTCGATGCTTGTCGGATCTCAAGATCTCAGTCCTGAGATGCTGAGCCTCCGAGACCCTGGGGGGGGCTCGGGAGTCCTGGAATGTTGCCAGAAGTGTCTGGTAGCTGGACTTTGACCCTACACAGGAGACGACAAGGATGAGGGCTTCACCGGGTGAATGGTGAAGGGATTAGTTAATTAGAGAGTGAGACACAAGGTTTAGGATTTATGTACAGGGGGGTTTAGAGGAGCAAGATGGAGGAATTGGGGTGTGTCCTGCCCTCCTCCTTCTTCCTCCTCTCCTCCATCTTCTTTGGCCACGGTGGCACCTTTCTATTGGTTATTACTAAGAGTACACCGAGTTATAACAATAGATGGTATTGGGGAAAAATGATAAATATTGTATACGTAGCAAAGGGTATAAAGATACGTGGCTGCCCGGAGGGCAGGACACAGTGTGCCCATGGCTGACTGCTGTGCGGATCTTTGTTCGGCTGAGAGAACATCTTTTAGATAAACAATTAATAAACATAAAACCAGAAAGAAGAACTGAAGCCTCTTCTCGTCCTTTGATACGCGGGCTGCGTCAAGGCCACCTCCGGGCCACCTCCGGGCCTCCCAGGCCCCTCAAACAGCCGAGATAAACCGGACAGATGCTGATCAAAGGATGGGTCGTCTCCCTTTGCTTCCTCACTTGGAGAGTGACACCAGGAGACAAAGAACTGAGACTAAAACTTACTCGGCCAAAGTGAGTATATTGCAGTCGGGGGTAGTTCATACTTTGGCTTACAGAATTGTTTTGTACGTAATTATAACTGAAGTTTTAGAACTAGAGAGTACCTCTATCCAAAGAAATGCTGAATGGCCTTGGTCCCAGGTGTTTAATCTGTATACTGGATCCATGGAAGAACCTTCTGAGATAAAAGATTTAAACCTGTCCACTGTAGTAATTCATGGAGATCAGGTATATGAGGAGCAGGAATGGCAGGAACAGGAACTGTGGACACTTCAAGGGATCAGAGGAGAAGAAATCAAGGTAGGGTGCCAGATGATAAATGGGACGACTTATGAGAGACCAGATGAAATGAGTGTCGTAACCTCTCCTGGTGTATACAAACACCAGGAAGTTTGTGATAGCCTAAGTGAATCAGACTGTTGGTGTAATTTCAGCTTGATACAGCCTGTAGAAGTGACTTGCCTTTGGGCTCAGGATGCTATCGGACTTGCATTTAAATTCAAAGTAGACACTGCACTTTTTACAACAGCAGGACCTTATACAACCCATACTAGGACTCAAATAGTTCAGACTCAACCCAAAGTTGAACCTGAAGTGTATGAAATAGCCCCCTACGTAGTGAGGAATGTGGGTGAACACAACTATTATTCAATCCAGAATTGTCTCTCAAAATGTTGAGTTGCTAATGCAAATGAATATCTCAAAAATCCAACCACCCTGCTCCTCCTTCCTAAAAACATCCTTTGAGGGCTGGACAATGTGGTTACAAAGACAAGTAAATCTCAGGAGCAGAATAAGAAAGGATCTAACTGGGATATTAGGGACAGGATTAGGAGTTTTAAATGGAATTGATTCAGAAATACTGATGAATAAGCTGGCCACTGCAGCAGGTGGCCTAACAAAATTGAAGCGGCCTTTATAGTAATCTCTATTGGCATTAGGAACTAGCCAGTGGCAGATTTCAAAGTACTGCCAAAGTAAGGAAGTAGGAAAAGGCCGGGGACCAAGACCACAAGTTAATAGTAGAAGCACTTGGTACAGTTCAAGATAATGTGTCTTTAGCTTTCAGTTGTATACAAGCATAGTTATAGATGCAAGCACCAGCAGCTCTGATCATACGGGCAGGGGGTGAAGGTAATTTTCCAGCTGAAATTTGGAAAGTTGTCTGGGATAATGTGATTGATCTTGAAAAGAAGTTTAAATCCTGGTGGACTATGGTAAATTTCACCTATGGTCCTGCTTCTAATGTCACCACTGCCTTTGTGCTTACCATACGTAATACCATTGTTTATGTTATCCATCCCATCATTGCATTAGGATTAAACCATGAAAAAAACAATACCCTTCAGAACATAGAATGTGGGCACGAAAGATGAATAAAAAGTGGCAGGCAGTAAACTTGGAATCCTGCATTACTAGAGAACAAATGAGATTCATTTGTGAAAACAATACTATTAATGCCCAGGATGTGTGTTTAGATACTGAACAGAGTATTTGCCACTTCGAAGTTCATTCAGTCACTGACCAGAAAATTGTGCTCATATATACTGGAAAAGAGTGTGTGTGCCTGAGAACTGCCTGTGCTGCTGTAAAAATTGATAGCAATGATGTTATTTTGTCTAGTAGAAATCATTCTAATTTCTGTATTTGTAATTTTGTTAAGATTATAGGGTGTGATTTTTCGTACTTGGCCCCAGTGACATCCCAGTGACCAGATGATTAAACCCAGTTATACATTGTATCATGGACTATCACCTACCCCTATTGGGAGGGACCTTACATTAGTAAAACAATTAATTAAGCACCAAGACCTACTAGAGATCTTGAAGGAAATCCAAGAAAGTGGAAAGAAAACCTTAATTACTGTCCAACATGATAGAAATTAAATAACTAGAATTCTGCCAAGAATAAAACAAAATGCAGATCATCACTGGTGGGATGTGGTCTTTGGGTGGTCACCAACTTCAAATGGAATCTCTAATAAGTTGTGTCATCCTACTGTAGTTTTGTTAATATTAGTTAGAATAAGTTTAAGATTATCCATTAACAAATGTTCAACACTAAAGTACACTTGTTGTCAAAGGAATTTGTACGAAGTAACAGAATTTACTTCCTCCTTTTAGGAAAGGGGGGAATGAGGCAAAGTGAAAATTTTCCAGGATAGAAATCCATTTTGATTTAGGTGAAATGTACATTTTTATATATACCGGCTTTACAACTTTCACAAAGTTGAGGGGTACTTTTTCTTTTCTGCGCAAAATATCACTACTAAGGTTAACAAGACTGTTGAACTTTGATAAATATGTGCATTTCTGTAGTGAAATCTGTTCCTGCCCAGGGCAGGAGGGCTAGATGATCTTTAAGGTCCCTTCTACCCCAAACCATTCTATGATTCTGTGATACTGAGTACATAAACACCAAATAAACCAAGTTTGTAAATGAAAGAGTCAGTGCCCTAAATCCAGCTACAACTAGAGCACTGTCAGTTTTCAGCTGGGCAAAATCAGGGCTCCGTAGCTCTTGCTAAAGCCAACAGTTTCTTCATAAGAAATGTCATGCAGCTGGAACCACTTTTTTTAATCAAGAAAGGAAATAAACTAATATTTTTCAGCAGCAAAGCATGTATTACAGAGGGTTGTTGCAGGAGCTGTTTCTCTCCTGCCTCACTGAAGCGTTCAGACTTGCAGCTAGTGTCCAGGAAGGACCTGAGGGAGAATGCCCCTCCTGCTGTAACAACCAATTCTTTTGTGTGACACTCTGCAATTTATAAAACCTCCCTGTGTAATTTGAGAAGAATATTCCTGCTCACTGCTATGTTCAGGGTAATTCAGCCAAATTTTGCATGTCTATGTTGACCTTGACTGCAGGTACTGGCTACCTGAATATTGACCATGTAGATTAGATAGGCAGGATGGTGCATGGAGGATTATTCTGTATTGACATTTTGAAATCAATACAGTTGGCAAAAGAAAAACAGTCAGGAGTTCAGAGGGTCGTTTGACTTCTGATACCACACTCCATTCATTGTCTCTCACACTTCTCTTTGGTGTGTATTTGCACTGAGTCGAATTCAGAGAAATGTTTTTGACGAAAAAAGTGTAAAATCTGACCCCAATGTCCTTTGATGAAATTGAGCAGAAGTGTCCTAAAGGAATATACACTTAGCAAGGCATAGAAGCTTGTGTGAGATTTGAGCAGAATTAGTTGATGTGATTTATGTAAAGCGGCAAGGTGTAAAAGGTAAAAAAACAAAAACCATTAGAATAAAAGTGTGATTGGCATTGCAGCATTCTTTTCAACTGAGCTTTTCACCCATTATAATTATTTTAAACTAGCAAAGAGGAGGCGTATAACCATCTGTGCTAGGACAGATATTTCCAATGACCATGATCTCTCATGTATCTTACATTTCTGCATTGTCATCATTAGTCATGAATTTGTTATCTCTGTAGATGAAAAGTAACTAAACAGAGAGAATTGCTTTTGTTTGCTTAAGAGAAAGAGATTCCTCATTTGCAGAGAATTGTTAGCAATACTTGGTGTGGGAGGGGCTGTAGTTATATAATCTCAAGGCAGAACGGCTGAGGGCTTAGAGTGAGTTCCACTGTGCACAAGGTAAGTGGGGTCTTTTATTTTAGACATACAGAGTGTTGTTGTATGTGAATCTCAGTCATTGAATGGGTTTTATAGGTTGAATGTGTGTATGTACTTTCTTTACTAACATGGTTATGTGTACCAAATGTTAATTCTCAGTCACCTGCTTTTGAGTTGCAGAGAATTAGAAAAAGAAGTGCAGATACAACAAGTGGGGAGTGTTTTCTCTCACCTCCTCCTTCCTACTGTCGAGAAGCTGACATGTTATTTACAAGGGGAATATGGCGGTGGTTTGGCCGTTTTCCTGTTGCTGCTGTTAAAGTTTCAGCTTTGTTGCTGACAGGGTGTCAATAGCTGTGAGGCTGGTACAGGCTGGGCACTGTTTGGGTGTGTTTGTGGCTGATGTGCACATCTGGTTCTGAGTGGGGTGGGTGACGGTCTGCCTAGAAACTGTTGTTGCTTTAAGTGTCTGCCTAGAAGCTGTTGTTGCTCAAAATTCCAGCAGAGTTGGAACTGGACCAAGCAAGCATTGCCCTGAGGCTGTGCCTATGATAAAGGCAAATCTGATGTTACCAGAGGCAAAATTAATTTCCATTTTTTAGAGGTTTGTGTAAAGACATTTCAGAAGAATGGAGTGTTGTAAAAGGGACTGACTGATGGAAAGGATTCCTTCCTGTCTGGTTATAATGGAGCATTAATGGCTGCTGGAGAAAGCAGAGCAGTTGCTGAGGTTATAGCATGTATCTGATTAAACAGTAACTGTGTTCTGAGATAATGCAAAAATACACAAATAGCACATGCAGCTTTCTGATTAGAACAGAACACTTTGAATGAAACTGTTTTGATTGACTGGTTTTCTCTCTGGGCATATTGCTGTAAGTACAGAGTTTTGATTAAACATTGTGCATGGGTAAGTAATATTTGAGGGCAGAATGATACGCGGCAGTCTGTCAATACATTCTAACTTTTATATCCACTGTTGATTAATTCAAGTCTTGGACGATAAATCATTGGTTTAAAAAAAAACAACTTTGAAAGCAAATTAGAGAGTTGAATCCAGGATTGTGAATGTTTATTGCGCAACCCTGCTTTCTTCATTGCAGATACCAGGGAATCAGGCAGGTGGAAACATGTCTGGAAAACCCAAGCTGCACTACTTCAATGGACGTGGTCGCATGGAACCAAT